TCTTTTCCAACCTTAATGATTCTATGTCTCAGAAACAGTATCCAGGCTAACTGCCTATCAGGATAAAACATCTCTCCAATTTAGGGTTATTTCCCATCTCCAACCACAGAAGAAAACAGATTACAACATGAAAAAGATCACAAGCTCACTTACCACACAGTTGAAGCAGGTAGAAGTACATCTCATCTCTATCACATTCAAATAGATTTTGAGTTAATTCTACCAAGTGTTCCAAAGTCTCCATCTTTAAAAAGGAAGGAAGAACATAGTTATACCTCAGCCAAACAATTATTTTTCTATATATGTGCACTTACATGCTATGTGCATTCAGCTAAAATAATATTTCTGTTTAAGTATATACCAGCATTTACACAGAGCATTAAGTTCACCTCATCAGCCTGTCACACGTCCTTTCACAAACATAAAAATCAAGCAATGAAGTATTTCAAAACAATTGTTCTTGGAATAGAATGACAGTTACACAGAAGACATCATATGAGCCACATACCTGATTACTTGATATGCACTTTTTTGCAAACCACTGCAACCTTCCAGAGTGTGCTCTCAAGCCAGGAGTCTAAAATATTTCCACAAGAAGAAACACATTAGTTCACACAGAACATTCTAAGGAAAAGTAAACATAAGACATGTATTCATAATAAAAGCTCATAGTTTTTGTTTGTTTTTTTGAAACCTGAGTAAGACTACAAACTCATAAATAATCAAGTTAGGTTGCATTTACGAGAGACTTAAAAATCACAGTAATTTTGTTAAAGAAATTTTTAAAATACACTTCAGATAAACTGAAATGTTAAATTAATTCTATCACCACAGTAATAGAGTATTACTGCTATTACCCATAGTAATCATTTCTGTTACTCATGGTAAAGAATTACACCAAATGTTTCAAAACTGTCTTCACAATGAAATGTTAGTATTCAACACCACTGCAATGTGTTAGCAACTAGAAAACCACACCTCTCAACCGCACCATCACCATTTGGTACTCCTTCTCTGCTAACATTAGCCATTTTCTTACAACTATTAATACCTAAAAACAATAGTGGTTTTAGATATTGACTTCTCTTGCTCAGTAAGAAAAACAGGAATTTACAGAGCAGTAACTGTTACAACAGTAACGCGCTGACAATGCAGGTGCCAGGTATACTAACTGTAAGGCAATTCCTGTCCCAGAGCAGAGCAAAGGCTTACTGTTAAGTGTATGTACACGGAGGAACTGATGTGTAATAGTTAATATGCCATAGTTCTTTCTGTTACTAATTTTCCCAGGTTTGATGAGCCTTTGCTTATTCATTTCTTTGTTGTTTCGAGCGGACTACAGCTACAGAATACACATTCTCAAAAAGGTTTCAATCCTTGGAAACTCCATCTGGTACAGGCTACCACATTGTGCCTTCTCAGCACCACAATCAAAATATTGGTTCCTCCACTTAAACAAATTCTTAAATAAACATAGGAAAATGCAAAGTTTTTAAAGAACCATGTTACAGGCATGCCAGTACTTAACGTCCAACGTATCTAAAAAAATGATACAAAAAACCTGTGTGCAAAACATCTATCATTTTAACTTTCCCTCCCACAGAGTACTTGAATTTACTTCCTTTATACTCTCTTGTTTTAGCACAAGGATCGTTTACAGAGAGAACTCTGCTTTCATTTCAGGTGTCCAGATTCACATTAATATAGCTCAAAGTGATTCCAAGGAAATGTCTGTTCATCCCTACAGAGAAACATGTGTTTTGACTCTTGAAGGCTTTTAGCTGTTAATATTATAAGAAGCCTCTACTGTTTAAACATGAAGTGCGACTTCCAAAATTTGAACACGACTTCACATAAAAGGTAGGAGGCAGTTTGAAAAAAAAAGCTGTGAGAAATATTGAGTCTCAGTTCCAAAGCAGCGGAAACAATTACCCTTGAAAAAGTCAGTTTACCTTCTGTCTTTTTAACACAGATAATTTCCTTTTCCCTTATTCTCCAAAAGCAGAATTATTACCATTACATCTTTCAGAAATAATTCAGCATACACCAGAAAACCAGCATGCAAAACTTTAATCAAAAATGTTAAAATTTGCAAAAGTTATAGGAAACCATGTTCTGCAGAGTAAATGTTAGGCCATATAATCCTGCCAACCATCCAAACCATTTTATGCAATCATTGTAAGGCTGTTAAAAAACAGGATGCTAACCCCCTAGTTCTTCAACATGGACCATCTTTTCTATGTATTTAACTGTACTATAAAAATACTCTCAAGCCACGAGGTTACAGAAAAAAAGTGGCTTCTCAAGTATTCAAAAATGGTATATATTAAACACAGTTTTGCTTTCCAGGTATTTGCTTTTTTCCCCAATTAGGTTTTTTCCCCCCAGTTATTTATGTTTATAGGTATCTGTTCAGTGCTTTTTTAAGAGCCACCAAGCAGCTTCACATAAAATATTCTGAAAACTAAGTCAAGAATTAACATCTTATACAACAGGCTCTTGAAAATGAAAAAGAAAAAAGTATGTTGCCTGCATTTGTAGCTAATCCTCTTTAGGACATGGTAAAATTCAAATGCTGAATTTGCTTACAACTTCAAATATCATTGCTGATCTGAATGCCAATGAACTCAACAGCTCCAAAGCTACAAACTTTTTATAGTAAATCCTTTCCTGTTCAGAAATGATTGATGTGTCTGTCACTACAAGGACAGCTGAGTTATACAACAGATATCCTTGTGTTTCATTTTGAAATTGAGAAGTGTTTTCACATACTGCAGGTCTCAATCATCAAAAGAACATCTAGGTCAGATTAACTAAATCTCCAGGGCTTGCCTGATAGTCCATATTTGCAGCTTATCCCTTACCATCTTAGGGAATTTTAAACATTGCATTTAGCAGGAAGCAGACTTTCTACAATACAGCAGACTAAAATAGAGAATAAAAAAAATGCAAGGAATGAAAAAAGAAGTAAAAAACTGTTACTTTAATTACTCTTCCAAATTACCATTTAAAATTTTGATCTTGCTTGTTTCAGTGGACCAAAAAAAAAAAAAAAATCTATTATTGAGTCATAGTGTTTTGTTTGGGGTTTTTTCCCTATTTTTAGGGCATTCATTGCTATAAAGAATGAAACACCTACTGAGAGTCTCAAGCAATTCATACAGCATATAAACTAAACAGGGAGGTTTTCTGGCTTTTAAATTCTCTCAGAATATAAAACAGCTGTACTGTACCAGACCAAAGGTTCATCTAGCTTTTTATCCTGCTCCTAACAGTGCCTGTGGGAGAATATAAAATGACAGAAAACCCAGCAATACTTCCCCCTTAGTGTTCTTTCACTCTCCAACTACTTAAGGTTCAGCGGGTCACACTGTTTCTAGTACATGATTTCTCTTCCATGAGCTTATCTGGTTGCCCCTGGAACCCCATAAGATTTATCGTTCACAAGACCTTTTGGTAAAGGGTTGCCTCAATTATCTTCTGCAGAAAAAAAATTAAAATACTACCACTTTTTGTTTGTTTTCAGCCTAGCTTCTACCAGCTTCATGTGACGCCCCTAGATTTTCTATTGGAAGACAATGCACAACTGATTTCTCTTTAACCTCTCTGTTTCATATTAATTTCATGAGCAATATATACAACAATTCCCTGTTTTACTGTTTCTTTTCCAGACTAAGCAGACCTCACCTACTTAGTCATATCTCCTATAGAAACCATTCCATACTTTTGATCACCTTTGTTCCTATCTTTCTGAGGCTTAGCATACAACCCTATACTAATTTACTCATTGATTCTATACTTTCACATGCAGAAAGGAAAACTAGCCAGAAGGGGAAAAAATATGCTGCATCTTTAGAAGAAGTCTTGCCAAGCAGCACTCAGAAATCATGTGAATGCAACAATCCTACACACTGAAAGCATCTGATTTGTCCTCCTCCTTCCTAGAACCAGTCACCTCAGACAGGGTCCAATCACCAGAAAAATCTTTTCTGTACTAACATTTTTATTTGAGCTAATTTCTACCTATTACAACTGAAGGAAAACAGATTGTCCGGGAAAATACTGACCTGTCAGAGAATATTCTGTCTGATGTTTTTCCAGATTTTTAGATAATGATAGAAATATTCAAATTTCATTTACATTAGTGTTCTATAACTGTTACAGCTAATAGACCACTACTATTTTTTTTACCTTTAAAAAGCCTTTTTTGGGGGGGCGGGGAAAAGAGTTATGTAATTTACAGAAGACATACAGAAAATATTTATTTACTTCTCTCTACTTGCCTAAAGCAACCTTTTTCTCTTTAAACACGAAACTCACTTAAGGAAAAACACCACGAAAACTAACATAACAGACCAGAAACTCTGTGGTATTGTTCAAAAAGAGGGACTTCCAGAAAACTAAGAGTTGAGAATGTCCCAGAACAGTACCACTTTTGCTACAGCTAGCTTAGGATGCATAATTACTTAAAAGCCAGCAAAAGTATTTTTCATTTGGCATATACATGACACGAGGTGGATTACTCTTTTGTTTTAACCTTCCAACACTGCACTTCCACAAACTGCTACTGTGCACTGCTTGGCAAAATAGAATCATAGAATAGTTTGGATTGACCTTTAAAGGTCACCTAGTCCAACCCCCCTGCCATAGGCAGGGACATCTTCAACTAGATCAGGTTGCTCAGAGCCCCGTCCAACCTGACCTCGAATGTTTCCAGGGATGGGGCATCTACCACCTCTCTGGGCAACCTGTGCCAGTGTTTCACCACCCGCATTGTAAAAAATTTCTTCCTTGTATCTAGTCTGAATCTACCCTCTTTTAGTTCAAAACCATTACCCCTTGTCTTGTCGCAACAGGCCCTGCTAAAAAGTTTGTCCCCATCTTTCTTATAAGCCCCCTTTAAGTACTGAAAGGCCGCAATAAGGTCTGCCCGGAGCCTTCTCTTCTCCAGGCTGAACAACCCCAACTCTCTCAGCCTTTCCTCATAGGAGAGGTGTTCCATCCCCCTGATCATTTTCGTGGCCCTCCTCTGGACCCGCTCCAACAGGTCCATGTCTGTCTTGTGCAGGATCCTGCACTCGGCCTTGTTGAACCTCATGAGGTTCACACAGGCCCACTTCTCGAGCTTGAACAGGTCCCTCAGGCGTGTCAATCGCACCACTCAGCTTGGTGTCGTCTGTCAACTTGCTGAGGGTGCACTCGATCCCACTGTCTGTGTCATTGATGAAGATATTAAACAGTACTGGCCCCAATACGGACCCCTGCGGGACACCACTCATCACCAATCTCCATCTGGACATTGATCCGTTGACCACTACCCTCTGGATGCGACCATCCAACCAATTCCTCATCCACCGGACAGCCCACTGGTGGATAAAATAATTTTTACATATTCTGGACAACTTATTCTAGCCTTTCACAGTAAAACTCCACTATGAATAATACATCAATTCTAACCTTTCAAGTTTAACTTTGTCCTCCATAAGTGTTTTACATATTCTTCTAGATCCTTGCATTTCCTCCCCAAATTTCAGTCTTTTCTTAGGGAAACAGTTCTACTATAATCACCAATACATA